TTTGATAAAATGACGAGTGTTTAGGACACATTGCTGTGTAAGTATGAATTAGACCATGTAATGGTCCGGTTAGTGTAGAAAAAACCTTTAGAGCAGCATCCCAGAACTCGTCTGGATCGCATTCCCTCTATTTGAAAGTGGATATGCCATCTGATTCATCCAGACAATTGCCTGATTTTGCCATCAAAATATTGTTGCATTTTAATTGTAGTGAATTTTTCACATAAGTGCTTGTCACTGAACTAAAAAGAAAATGAGCAGAAATCATACCAACTTAGTTTCCAGAAGCAGCTAGTTTTGTGCATGATGATAATAAATGATTTTAGAGGTGACAAAATTTGGTCCAGGCATTGCATTTTTTTTAGTACACTAATGGAAAGAAGGTCATGTGACAAGAGGCATATGGCTCCCTACTTCCTCTCTGAATCAAAGACTACCAATAGTTATAGTGAACTACTTAATGATTTTGACTGGCCAAAACTAGCTTAGCTCAATTTGCAACAGGAAATCAATAGAGGGTTATAAAGAAAACTTAAGTGAATGAATCACTTGATGCCATTCTTCCAAACACACTATGCCTTCAGACTGGACTTTCCTAACATCCCTGCGCTATTTGCCATCACAGACACAACTCATATGATCCCAAACTCAGGATGACTTCCCTGACACCCTATTTCTAATCCAGCCTCTTCCTTGTGGTCTCATATCACTATGCTTACTTGTACCATTAAAATTTCCCATTTATTCTCCTGAATTACACACTAATTTCACTAATTTCACCTGTTTCTTATTAATAATTTTAACTGCAGGCCCTCCCATGATATACAACAAATAGTAGGTGTTCAGCAAATAGTTATTGAATTGTGTGGTGTAAATTAAATTTTCTTTCACATTCATATGCATACCAAAAAATCACTGTGAGTGTGTGTATGTGTGTGTGTGTAAAAAAGAGAGAGAAAGAGAGACAGAATAAAGATCAGCCCAAGTAACATGAATTCTCTGCCTCATTTTTTTCTCATGGCTTCTATCTTCCAATGTGTGTAACACACTTGTTTGCTTGAATTATTTTTGTGGCCAATCTCTTGAAAGTTACAGATTGTGTTTTGTAAATAATTGGCTTCAATTTCATGATTTTGCCCAATATAATTAAATTTAAAAGGTTTCACTTCAGTAACACTAATGTGTTGGTCCTGCTTTGACCATCGATAAGAAAATGAAAAGGAATCAGTTTAAGGAATACCCACACATTGCTATAGGAAGCATTAATTTGCCACATTCATCATTTTCTGTCTCCTGCGGAGCAACTTGCCAGGGTTTCTAAATTAATATGATGAAACTGAAGGGAACTGTAATTACAATATTCTTATCTCTTCTTCCATCATTCTTCATCCATATTGTTCCATTGAACTATAGGAGAAAAGGAAAGCCTACTAATTTTCTTGTGTTATTATTTGCTATCAAATTGATTCATTATGTTTCTCTTCCATTCCTAATTATAGCTATCCACCCTCCCCATCTCCAAGACTACAAACAGTGTGTCTTTGGCTCTTAGACATGTTTTATTTCCATACATTGTAAAGCTGTTTATAGCATGTAGGTTATCAATCCACAGATAATGAGAAAGCATCTACCATATGCAAAACATGGTGGAGGATTTGATAGATGCCAAATGAGGTACATGACATTGGGGAAGCTGGGATATTGAGACATGCATTAGAAGTGTGGTGATGACAAAATCTAAGGTTAAAATCCTAAGTCAGACTCCTCTTTGAGAAACTAAGAAGTTTCATGGGAAAGGGTTTTATTTATTTATTTATTTTCAGATGGGAAAAGATAAATAGCTATTTGCTGGTACATGGAGAGGATTATATGCAGAGGTGAAATAATGTTGTGGAGATGAGAAAAAAAGTCAGGAATGAATGAAGCATTTATGGGCACGCCTTTCTGGAACAGTCAATTTATGCAGTAAGAGATGGAGCTACATAAGATAGGCTTAAGGACATTGCGGAATGTTGTGAGGTTGAAGCCACTGATGGCTTTTAAGTTGGGAACTGACTTGTAAACCGGGAGGTTTGTAGGAAATTGTGATGTGTTCCCTAAACTCACTTATTTTTCTAAAGTTATCTTCTAATGTTATTAAGGTGTACTAATTGAGGTATAATTTGCATAAAATGGGCTGTACCATTTTAAGTGTGCATTTATTGAGTTTTGACAAATTTCTATATTATATAATCACTCATAATCAAGATGCATAATATTTCAATCACCCTTGGACTTCCCTCGTACCCTCTTTTATTTTATTTATTTTGTGGGGGGGGAGCAGAGTTTCACTTTGTCAACATGGGTTGAACGCCTTAGTAGAATGCAGTTCACAGCAACTTCAAACACTTGGGCTCAAGGGATTCTCTTACCTCAGCCTCCTGAGTACCTGGGACACAGGTGTTGGCCCCAATGCCCAGCTGTTTTTAGAGATGGGGTCTCACTCTTGCTTAGGCTGATCTCGAACTCCTGAGCTAAAGCAATGCATCCACCTTGGCTTCCCAGTGTGCTAGGATTATAGGTGTGAACCACCAAGCCTGGGCCCCGTAACCTCCTTGAGTCACTGTCCCCTTCTTACTTTTGTAGAGCAATATGCTTTTTCTATTTTCAAACCTTTTATTTGAAATTTTCCTTGTATAAGAAAATTTCCCACGAAGTTTTTGATCATTTTCACTTTTAACCAAAATAAAACAATTGTCCTCCTGACAGGACAAGATTACACAATATATAGGGAGAATGTGATTAGAGACGATGTAATTCTAGAGGTCATATTGAATAATTCCCCACAAAACAAAATCCTGGCTATTACTTGCTTATGTCTTTGTTTTACCTGGATGTTAACAAAAATTGACAATGTTAAAAATATGATTAGTAAATAAGCAAAAGGTTTGGAATTAAATACTGATATCTTCTGTAAGCATTTAATTAAACACGAATTTCTAATTTTCAAATTATATTTTTAGACCAAAATGTTTATTTTGAACTTCCAATATTTCCTTAAGCAATTTAAAAGTTTATGGAAAGTGCAATGATCATCACTACACATTGTATCATATATCAAAAATATCATATAACTCCTGAGATATGTACAATCTTATATATCAATAAAAAAATTACAAAATTCCAGAAAAGCTTGCAGAGTTCATATGCTGAGATTATAAAATTTTCCAGCATTGCTAAAGTTCCCAGTCAGGTAACAACAGACTCTTAGCAGATAATTAATTTTCATGTATTTTTTAATCTGGTTGATTTTCTTTTAATATGTTCATTTGAGGATGGCTGTTCTTTTAGGTTTTCTTTTATTTCTAACATTAGGAAAAATTGGAATGCTTCTTTTTATACTTCAGTGAAACCTCTACCATTAACTTATATTTTTAGTGATTAGATATAAGAGTAAGATACTGCCATAGTAATGGAAGCTCCTCAATCATATGACTTTTTTTTCTGCACCTTTTCTCCCTAAATTTAACAGTAGGATGGAACCTGAAAAATAATTTAAAATATAAACCTTAAGAAATAGAAAACAAAGTGTACAACAAAAGCATCATATGCTTACTAATTAATTCAAGAAAGACAGTCTTATTAACATTCTAAAAAGTGTCAGGCAGTGATGTGTAAGGGGGAGAAAGTAGAGGACAAAATGGACCCCTTACCTTTGCCCTCATGAGAGATACATTCTTAAGGGGAGAAGCGAATAGGCAAAAGTTAGGAATATATACTACAACTGGTGATAAGGCAGCAGCAACAAAGGATATAGGAGCGCTAGGGAATGAATAGGGATTAATGTTACAATTTTCTAAAAAATGCTCACAGGAAGACTCTTGGACATGATAGTAATATTGGGGCAAAGATCCTAAAGTAGTACCTCAAACTGATCTGGGCGAAGATATTCCAAAAATTCAGACCTTCAGGGAGAGCTTGCTGGGCTTGTTCAAGAATGTGAATCGTGTGATCCAATGGCTGTAATACTGTGTCAATCTTAATCTCAAAATAGAGTATAAAATTTATATTTTGGATTCATTTCTTTAAGACTTATTTCTCATCTTTATAATTTTATGTCATTTTGTTTTTTACCAACTATTTAATTTTCCCCACATCATTAAAAATAGTCTTTAAAAAAGTCTTCAAAAATATTTTTAATAAATGCAAAACACACTAGCACGGATATCCCATGATTTACTTAAACATTACTTTTGTTATATATTTTATTTATCATTGAAAATCATTATAAGTCTTACTGCAATGTTCCTTCTTACATAGAGATATTTACCCACATTTCTGGTTATTTCCTTAGCCACCATGATCAAACAGTAGTGGGCAACTTTAGAATTGAGAATGGAATCTTGTAGGATAAACATCCTATTTCATATCATAAGTATATAGTGACAATTTTCTCAGGAAGTTCTATTGTATATATAAGAGAGAGAGGGAGAGAAAGGAGAGCTAATTAAGTCATGAAATATAACTGAGGTGTTTTTAGTTTTTCTCTTAAGGAGAAAGACATATCACAATCTATCATTAGGTTAATCAAATTGGCGTTAAGAAAATCAGAATTTGGAGGTGTATGAGAAATGTTCTCTTAGATTATAAAAGCAGAGAAAAAAATATCATAAACTCAAAATGCAAGCTAGCAAACAAAAAAAATCCATGAAATAGCTCATTAATAAGTTGTGGTTGAAGAACAAATGAATATAGCTTGTAGGATAGAAAATTTACCTAATATGTTATATATAAGAAAGAGGGTGAGGGAGAGAAGGAGGGGGGGGGAAGAAGGAAGAGAGGGAGGGAAGAAGAAGAAAAGCTAAGAAGGTAGGGAAAAAATATCTGATTTTGAAGGCCAACTTTAAGGAATGAGTGTCTAAAATCTGATTTTCTCACCTTCACAAAAGCCCAGATGCTCCCAAACTCCACGTTTCTTCATTGGTAAGGTACAGGTAAAAGAAAATACAGAGTGAAATCCCATACTTACCTGGCAGGGAGACACCATGATCACCAAGGTTCCCAATGCCAGGCCTATCCATTGCACTCTGCCAAGTGCTGACTCTTGCAATCTCTCAATGTGGGATACTCAACTGCCTGATTCGTGGTAGTGGGGGACTGTGTTCACACTTTTCCCTGATAAGCATAAAGAAAAAAAAGTCTCTGGTAACCGTAGGTATAAGAAGACCAGCAATAGACCATGAATAATACAACAAGTAGGCTCGACGCCCATAGCACAGTGGTACGGTGCCAGCCACATATACCGAGGCTGGCAGTTTCGAGCCCGGCCCAGGCTAAACAACAATGACAACTGCAAAAAGAAAATAGCTGGGTGTTTTGGTGCACACCTGTAGTCCCAGCTATTCGGGAGGCTCACATAAGCCCAAGAGTTTGAGGTTTCTGTGAGCTGTGACACCTTGGCACTCTACTGAGGGTGACATAGACTTTGTCTCAAAATAATAATAATAATATAATATAACAAGTATGTGGAGCTTGGACAGAAATGGCCTATAGCTTAGCTCTCCCCAGCTTGCAGAGTGCAGTCATGAACAATTCCACATGAGCACCCAAGGCTTACCTTTACACCTGGCTTTCCAACCTTCCTCCAAGAATCATAGGAGAAGGCACAACCTGGTGAGCACCCATAATTATATAGTTTCGTTCCTAATCTTTCTTAAATAGTTTCCTAAGTTTCTGTGAAGTTTAGGATGTAACAGTATCAACAATTGCAAGGTAGAAAACTAAAACCTGTAGACAGCCTCTGAACAGCCTGAGTTTCTCCTGGATTTTATAAGACAGTGATTATTTATTTTTATTTTTTTTAATTAAATCACAACAGTGTACATTAATACTATCATGGGGTACAGTGTACTGTTTCTGTATACACTTTGAAATACTTTGATCCAACTGAGGCAGTGATTATCATAGCCACAACCAAAGAACCTAACATCTCTGACCTGCCAAGTGTACCTAAAATCAAAAAGTTTCACTGCCTGCTCTGGAATAAAAGCCTAGTTATTAGTCTTTCATTTTACTTGGTTCAATGAAATAGATGTGCCTATATTTTTTTTCACTCAAACTAATACAATATATGACCTAAATTCAAAAATTTAGTGAAGAATACAGAAAAAAAGATAGTTAAATGTAAAAGTAACAGTGTTCTAATAGCTGGATTTTAGTGAATTTTAAAGAGAGCAACGACGTGGTTGGTTGGCACGCAGCCTGGATCAGTCCTTCTACAGGATTAGTTTAAAACACCTTTAATTATGAAATGATGCTTTTATCTCAAGGGCTTATGAAAAATGAATCAAGGTCATAGCATCTGCAGACTGAGCTGCTTAGAACTGCTGAAGACATTTTATTTTAAAGCACAGCCTGGGCGTCATATAAAATAATTGAAAAAGTAGTTCCTGAAATATTCATTTTTAAATATTAGTGAATACAAACTTAGTGTGGTAGTGTTGATGTCATAGTCAGAAAAATCAGAGTATGAATTCCAGTTCTGGGCTTTCCTAAGTAGTGATCTAAATAAAGAAATTCAGTCTCACAAGCCTTCATTTTTAATTTTAAACACTGACATCAATCATGTAGAGTTGTTTGGGAATTACATGGAAACAAATAAGCTTTAAAAGTTCATCATTCTGTGAAGGCATGTAATGGACTCACAATAGATGATATACATTTCTTTCTCCCCAGTCTGAAAATAGCATAATACCTCAGAATTTTTCTGAAAAAATATCCTCTGTAGTATAATCCCTCAGATTTCACTGTGTATTTATACAAAATCAAGTAAGAAAATTTTTGAAATATAACTTTACCAGATTCTGTGCTTAGAGATTTTTGATCCAGGAGGTTGAGAATATAGTGGGAATGTACATTTTAATCAAAGTTGCCTTGTGACTCTAATGGTGCCTTGAATGCATTAATGTTTTCTAACTCTGCTCTATGTGTATAGTGTATGCCTATAGTCTATTTCCTTTTTATTACCAAATAATAACTCACTGTATTGTTCCTAATTATTGAATTTTTTTTGTAATTTCATAGACTTTTTTCTTTCTGCTCATATATTTATTAGCTAGTTTGCTACAAACTACTGAGTTTTGATTATATCTGTCAGAATCATGCCTGAACCATTCACGGGTAAGGTTTTATACTAAAACGGAAAGGATATATAAGTTTTTATTTTTAAAGCCAAAGAAACCAGGTGAATTAAGAGCAAGTGTTCACTATTTAGAAGAAAGAGCTATAAAACTGAGACATATGAAACACTTCTTAAACATTCTAAGCTACAAGGAGAAAATTTAAAATAAGATACCTGCAAACTGCTTTCCTGAAAGTTTATGCTCGACTGTAAATGGTCTTGGGCATTCAAAGTGGCTTAAAAGTAATGCCAAGATGGAGGGTGTATTTCCTATGAAACTGGAATCAATCTCAAAGTGCTAAAGCAAAAATAAAGATGATCAAACCCCAGGCCACTCAATAAAGCAAGGGAGTAACCAAAGACTAAAGGGTTTTTTGTGTGTTTTTTTCTTCCTGGAAAAACATCATTTAGTGTCATCTCTTGGATTGATTTGGTAAATTGTGGTAAGAAAAAATGTAGAGTGCAAAATATAAATTCTAAAATCTTCATTATAAGATCAAGTGATTCATTCTAAAATCTAAAATCTTCATTATAAGATTAAGTGATTCATTGAAGAAAATTTTAAGCCAAGTATTAGTTAGTATGATTTTAAACTTGATCTTTATAGGGTCATAGCCCCAAATTGACAATGTTCCATAAAAGATCCTTTAATACACATGTGAATAAAAATGCTACGTTTATTTAAAATGGACACTTTGTTGGCAGAGGAAACATGTGGCCTTCTGATTTAAAGATTGTTCTTTTTTAAGCCCCAAAGAAGGCAAGAAAAGTTTCATCTTTCTCTACTGTACCCTTTAATAAAAGGATTTGTTCTGTAAAATTTGGATTCAGTTGAAAGGCTGCACTCCAGGATCTAAAAGGTCCACATGTGGCTCCAAGGTCTCAGGTTCCACCCCCACGAGCTGGATCATTCCCTGCTGATTTTACTTGTATCTTCTGTCCTCTTTTCCATTCTGTCCTTATTTTTCTTTCTCCTTTCTCTGCTCTTGTTCTTCTCCCCTCTTCCCACTCCCACTAGATCACTCCTGATTTTTACTGTGGTCTTTCTGTCCTGTTTTCCTCTCTGTCTTCATTCTCCCTTTTCCCCTCTCTCCTATCCACCCCTTCCCATCTCTCTCCGCCTCTCAGAATTACAAGATGCTTGGGGTGTATGGTAAGCCATAGATCAGGAATTCATAATTACAAAAAATAGCAAAAAATCATTCTTCATAAGAAGTTTCAGTGCGCATTTTCATTGATTCAATTGAGATCTTGCTAAATAATAGTCTCCCTCAGTAATGGGTGGTTTCATCTTTTATGGAGAGGTCAAGATCAACAAGAAAAACAACTACTGTGATATGTTTGTCATTTGAAAATAACTGTGAGAACTTTTAAATGAATATTCTGGCATACGGTTATAACAATTGCTTCCAAGTACAATATAATATTGGAAAGTATTGGTGTTCTCAAATATTTTCATGAATTCAAAGAGTTTGTTTTCACTCCCTCTGCCTTATACTCATCATTCTAGGTTATTTTCAATAGTTAGAGAAAGAAACAAGATTTTTTAAGTTTAAGGACCTAAAAACTGACAAATGAAAATATTCACTTAGATATTTTAAAAAACCAATTTTGTAAAAGATTAAAAATGTATTATTCCAATTCACAACATAAAGAAGCAAGGTTATCTTTTATCTTCCTCTAACCTAAGTCATGGATTATAATGCATTTATTAAATTTGTGCGCAAATAAAGCATAAAAAAATAATTTGTAGCTCTTAAGAGCATTTTTTTCTTTCTTTTAACTATGTAATTTGTTAGATTATAAATATGCCATGAGTCATTTCAAAGCTGTGAAGCCTTCTTCCTCGTTGCTGCGTTTCAGCATCTACCTAATACCCACTTCCCCATCTTCTCAAAAATTTAGCAATCCAAAATTAACTAAAAACAAAATATTCAAACTAACAAATAAATTTATTGAGATCATTTGAAAAAGGTCAATATGCAAAGATCAATTATATGTCAATATACCATTAAAAAGCTACTAGAAAATTGAATTAAAACAAAAAATGTTATATATGAAAATATAAAAGCATCAAGTAGCTCTTTATAAATCTATTCAAACATGTGCATTATTACCACTAAACTAAACATTCCAAATTATTATTGAGAGAAATTAAAGCAGAAGAAAATAACCGGCTTGTGTTTTGATAGATTCACTATGAAAACTGTTATTCTGAATATACAATGATACTAGAGCCTAAGAATAAGCATATTCTCTCGTCTATTGTCTCTCAGACTTGATTTATTTTTTTACCACCATGTGTTTTTTAAACCTCACTCCTCAGATCTAGAGAGTAAAGTTTGTTTGCCATAACAGTTTCTCCAATCCCAACTTCAGAAGAAAAGACCAATTTCTTAGGAATTTATGCTATATCTTTTAGTCTGGCAGCATAAATTAACCTTTTTATTTGTATCTTTTACTTCTATGACAGTGTCATTGCAGAGCCTTTGGATCAAGTAGACCTAATGCAGAATTAGAAATAAAAAAATTAAATACTCGTGAGTCATTGTCTTTCTATTTAGTGAGAAAATTTGGAGACTGCAAATCCAGACATACTTTTGTAATTGAAGATGAGTATGTGTGTAATTTAAATGTTGAGTTCTGAATATATTTATCATTTTCAGATAGTTTGAAGACAGGTTTTTCTTATCTTTGACTCCATGTGAACTAGATAAGCAACAGTGATAAAATTACTTCTGTCAATTCTGATATTTCCTGTCTCAAGTATGGACTATCCTTTGCCCTTTAATTCTTCTAAAATCTATAAACATTTGACTTTCAATATGATGTTCATGTCTCATGAAAATCCAATTTTGTCAGAATCATTAAAGTTGAAACTCAAGTGCTAGCATTTTAGAAATTTCCATAAATGCTTTTCAGTTCTGCTATACTGATGCTTTGTTCCCATTCCCAGCATCTGTGATGCAGTTGGTCTGAGATACACGCTAGGGCACTG